TAGCGATGCCCTTTGCTGCTAGTAGCGTCCTCTTGTTCCTATTCCTTCTTGTTTCTTGTTGCTCAAGACTGTAGCACTACGAGGTCCTACTAGTCACAATCGCCAAGAATCCATTTACAGTATATAGTTCTGGCAGCATACGCAGGGCACGGCGCCATGAGTACTTAATTAGAAACACACATTACGGATCTTGAAAAGCACCTAAATACCCTTAACAAGAATAGTTGCCACTGCAACATTATTTTGAAACCAAGGTAGTATATATTGCTTGTTTTTGTTGTGTTGCCTTGGCTGTCCTAGTTTGGCATGACTGCACATTGCTGAAGATCTTATTTTTGTTGTGCGCTGAAGTAAAGGAGGTTTGAAGCAGACTTGCATCATCCCCCCTTTGTGAGAATAGCTATTAGGATAAGCCGTCGCGCTCAGGTTCAACTAAGTATATAGAAAAATGAAGAAATATATAAGTGCAGGCCCTCGGTTGCTTCTTTTTTTGGGTGAAAGGAATCATGTTTGCAACAGTAACAAGAAGCTAATAGTAACAAGTGCATCGCTTCTAGTAACAAATGCCTTACTAGTAGTAACAAGGACGCCCCTAGTAGCGTTCTGTTTCAGTGCCAACTGCAGGACTTTGACTTATTTGATGAGTTGGATCGGATGAGGCCTCGACTGAGTTTCAAGGCAGGCAACAGGGTCAATTGGGAAGCTGGGTGCCCTTCAAAAAGCTTCTTTGCATGCCAGTGAACGCGGTGTAGCAGAACTTTGTGCACTGGTGCACCCATTCTAGAATCTTGCTCATGACTCATAACTCCAACACCCGGGTTTGGGTCCAGGTTGAGGACGACGACTTGGAGAACTATCAGGTTCGCAAAGTCTTGAGCACGTTTTATATTTATGGACATATGTGTACTATAGAATGGCAGCAAAACGAGACCATTCTATACACGAAGATCATAATAGGGGATGGCTTGCAAGATGGCTGTGGGTTGTGTACTGGGTTGTGTTTTTTGTTGGGCGACATGAGAAAGCATGCAAGGCATTTTCCACCTTGGGTACTGGTGCACGATTGATTTCACGATTTGCTGTTTTCTGTAAGTCAGATCTCAGAAGTAAAGGTTTGGTGAGATCACACTCGAACAACGTCTACGGCAGCAGGACGAACTGCCTAGTCTAATAGTTTTGACATGTTTTGACATACTGTACATGTATGATATGCAGCCCACAACCTCCCAGGTGCACCAGGCAAGTACCATCTTTGATTTCTTGACAAGCAAGGTGGAGAGAACGAATATCCAGAGCCGTTTGACTGCAAGAGCGGTTGCACAGGATTGCTTGAAAAGCCACTTAAAGCAATCAACAGACATTGGTCTTTGGCAGAGGCTTTGTGTGAGTTTTAGTCCAAAGAAGTTGTCCTGATTCCTACCTCTGCTTCCAAGGCTTTTTGGAGTTGAAGGACAAGCGCTTTGGCAGTATTTGTCGGCTTGAACACAAACAGAATTAGCTGCAGAACCGGAGGGCAGATTCCAAATGTATCCTAAAACTCTCAATGTCAACACCTTCATGGCCAACAACAGCTTAGAAGTTCAGATGGGTGCCGGGTTGCCCGTTGAGAACAGGAGAATGGGACAATATGGGACAATCGCAACAGAGAATCATGGAACAATGGCACTGTATTTTCTTTCCGATCTGACAAGGACAATAGCAATGGCCTCCAACCTAAGAGCAAGGGCCTCTACTCTGTGGGCAATGCATCCACGTGAAATGGCCACTCCCAGGCCCGAAGATGGTCGCAGGCGTGCATCCACTTGTTCGACCTGCGCCACCTTGGCAGAGGCACGCAAGAAGCGACTGCGAAGCGACTGCGAAGCTCCATGTGAAGTTTTTTGAAGTCTCAAAGACGGCTGTCCTGGCTTGGCACAGTTGGGCAATCTCATCATAGTCAAATGACAAATGTAATTCTTCAGTTAGTTAGGCGAAAGCAGAATGTTCTGGGAATTGCCGTATACGTATATATATATATATATATGTTGTAACAGTTGTAAGTGAATTTGTCAATGCAGTGCTAGAGAATCTTTTCGGCCGATTGCGTAGGTTCCACGGCTGTCTCCTTCTCCAAAAATTTTGGAAGAAGGTCCACTGCATCCTAGTATCCGCATCAGAGGGGTCGCTTAGTGCGGATCCTCAGCTGGAAAGTTCATTGATCGAATCTCGCTCTTTCAAGAGATGCAGATTGGTGAACAGATGAGACTTGTTATGCGTGATCAATAGTTGGTGATTGCCCGTGCAGTCCAGTTGTGCCAATGTAAGAAACTGCACTCTTTGAAGATGCAGTTTTGCGCATGCGAGTATCCAAGATACTGGCCCTCTGTAGAATGATAAGACAAGAATTATTGAGTTCGTGATGCAATATGTTGCTTTCAATGTGACAGGAACGGACATGATTAGACACAGTAAATAGTGCAGTATATCAATGTATATGTTTGATTTGCTTGCAAGTTTCATGACGTTCGTACGGGTTTGATGCTTGTATTTGGAGCAAGTCTCAGGTACTGGCGAGGCCTAGCCGGTGACCTGCTGCCTGTGTTTTGACCAGATTCGGTGACCTGTGCTGTTCCAATCAGAAAGACAATAGGCATTTGCGGATGCTGAATTGGGATGTTTCAAACATTGGAAGTGTAATCTCTGACAGAAGTGCGTCAAGTTCATTCTAAGCCTAAGCCTATGAAAACCAGTTCGAGCTGGGTTACATCAAGGGATGAATCTTTGGATATGTTTCGTACAGTGTTTCACTTTTTAACTACAATATAACCCACTCATCCAGTGGAAAGCTGCTAAGCTGCTGTCGTAACAACCAGCAATGCCGCAAAGTGATAAAGACCACGCTTTGCAGGCATCGAACTACGACAATGACGCCAGGTTCTTCAAAGTGGATTTTGGCTGATGTGAGTAACGTGAGTTGCACATGTTCCTGGAAATTCCACACTTAAAGCTCCGGAAGCTCTGGACAAGCGTGTTCCACTTTGACGAGCCTCGGGTAGCCACCGGAAGGGCAACACTGGAGAGCTCAGAAGAGGTGAGTTGCAACCTGTTTGAGCCTTCAGCGCGTTCATATATTGCTGAACTATGGCAATGGGTTCAAACTGACGGACATCTCCTTTCTCCTGAAACTGATGTCCTAGTTTAGGGGCACATTCCAAAGTTGGAAATGTCACCGACCCGTTTGCCAGAAAAAGCACTGGCCAAATGGCGAGGCACAGTGAGGTCCTCACAAGTCATGACACAAATATGACGAATATTGACAAATTATACACGTAAATCCTTAAAAATGTATACAATATATGATACTGAAACGTCAGATGAAATCCTACCACTTATGCTGTTTCACATATGACTTTTGCACTTTCCCACCAATGTCTCCACACATCCAACGCTCAACCTTTGAAAGCATCCTGCGACGTGCAGCTTGTCGTACAATGAGGACCAGATGCAAGTTGAGCCAATTTTCGCACAAGGCTGTGTCAATCTTCCGCCCTTGGCACCTTTTAATTCAGACGAAGCTTTCCATTGCAGAGGTTGCTGGTACAGGCCATCAAGCAACTGGTGTCTGCGGAAGATCTTATCATCTACCATGCTAAGATCTGTGCATGTTGCAGCAACTGTAGAAGTGTTGTTTGAACTTGATTGCTGTGAACTTTGTTACCTGGCAACTGGCTGGACTTTGGTCCAGGGACAGGCAGGGGACGCCACTGCACCAAACGGGGGCCGATCCTCTTGGTTCGGGTTTCCCATCTTCCAGGTTGAGCTGAACCCAGCCCCTCCTTTGCATGGAGGCACCAGAGTTTCCGCTCAGCAAGTCGAGTGTGTCAAAGTGATCTGGAAAGTGTGTGTCACAGCACCGAGGGCCTAGAATGAGCCTCTTTTCAATGGCTCAAAAGTCCATGGCGCTTCGAGAAACGTTGATCATCCGACTGATCATGCAACAGCCAGAACTATGAGCTGCACTGTATGCAACAATGTGAAAAGGGAGAACTCGAATCGTCAAGAAGTGGCTTTACCCTCGGATGAGGCTGCAACACGCTGGTAGAATTGACCCAAGGCTGCTGTGAGGGGTGTTCAATTTGCCCATGCAAAGACCATGCACGCCAAAAGTAAGTCGGCAAGCCGGGAGTCGCGCTGCTCGCTTCTGCCTAAGCAGACTAGGAATCGAATCATTGAATAGATTGAGAGAAACTACCAAGGTACGCACATCATATACAAACCTTTCATATTGAGCCATTTTAAGAGTTTCAGAGGCATTTCATCCAACCCAGCCATATCTAATGTAGATAACTATTCCATACATGGATGGTCCGGGCAAGACTGTGACTTCCAGTTTTCCTTCCAAAGC